TTCTCAACCGCAGCAACTTTAAGCTCTGTGGACTTCAACTCCCAGAACTCCCCACCCCGCATGACCATTGCTGAGAATTCTGGGAGTTGCCTAGGTTGAGAAACAAGTCTAGACCAGTGTTTCTCAACCGCAGCAACTTTAAGCTGTGTGGACTTCAACTCCCAGAATTCCCCAACCCAGCAATTCTAGGAGTTGAAGTCCACACAGCTTAAAGTTGCTGTGGTTGAGAAACACTGGTCTAGACTTGTTTCTCAACCTAGGCAACTCCCAGAATTCTCAGCAATGGTCATGCTGGCTGGGGAGTTCTGGGAGTTGAAGTCCACAGAGCTTAAAGTTGCTGCGGTTGAGAAACACTGGTCTAGACTTGTTTCTCAACCTAGGCAACTCCCAGAATTCTCAGCAATGGTCATGCTGGCTGGGGAGTTCTGGGAGTTGAAGTCCACAGAGCTTAAAGTTGCTGCGGTTGAGAAACACTGGTCTAGACTTGTTTCTCAACCTAGGCAACTCCCAGAATTCTCAGCAATGGTCATGCTGGCTGGGGAGTTCTGGGAGTTGAAGTCCACAGAGCTTAAAGTTGCTGCGGTTGAGAAACACTGGTCTAGACCTGTTTCCCAACCTAGGCAACTCCCAGAATTCTCAGCAATGGTCATGCTGGCTGGGGAGTTCTGAGAGTTGAAGTCCACACAGCTTAAACCTGCTGAGGTTGAGCAACACTGAGGTAGAGATTTATTTATTTATTTATTTATTTATTTATTTATTTATGGCAGCAGAAACTTTCCACCACCGACCCAAGAGGGAGCGAACCCTCTGAGATACCCTGATCTCTGAGTAGCTGACTTCACAGCCCTGCTTGTTCAACCTGGTTACTGAATTAACCTGCTCGCTGAACCCATGTTGTGGATTCACACATTATATTCAGCCACATTCCAAGCAAATAGGCTGAGTTCATGTAACCCACTAAGGCCATACAAAAAAAAAAAAAAAACCAAAATCCAACCAAAGTGAACACTCACCAAGGTGTGTGAATGCAGCTGGCCTGGTTAAGCATCTTGTCTGAACATAGCCATAAAGTCTAAAAAATAGGAGCTTACTTGGCAGCAAGAGCAACCAGCATCCCTGGCTTTAATCATCTGCAATTTGAAGTGGGGAAGGGATTAATTTTTGTGACAGCCACAGTATGTGAGTTGTAATCTAATGCAATTAAATGTAAATGACCTGTGATATTGTTTAGAAGCAGAGGAGAAATTTCCTCTATTCTTAATGTATGCGACAATATCATTGCCTACAATATTGATCAAACAGCTATTGAATTGACCTAGACATGCCACAGAATGAAAAAGCAAAGCCACAAGGTGCTAGAGTGGACCATATTGCTTTTTAAAGTGCAGATAAAAACTTCCCTGCAAGTAAATAACTAGCATATGAGGGAAAGGAATAGACTTTTCCCCCCTTTATGTTCTAACTTTCTTCCTTCTTGGTTCTTGTTTGATTATCATCGTGTGAGTTTTTTGAAAGAGAGGTTTTAAATCAGTGTTTCTTAACCTTGGCAACTTTAAGCTGTGCGGACTTCAACCTG